TTGTTTCTATTCTCTATATTGTGTAACTTATATATATATATATATATATATATATATATATATATATATTAAAATTTTAAATATAAAATAAATAAATAAATTATAAATATTAATTAACATTGTTGGTTGTATCTATTATTGAACTATTATGTAGAGAAATGTTATACATTATAAAATTAATAGTAAATATATATAATTATATATTATATATATAAAATAAACAAATAATTATATATTAATTAAAACGGTTCGACCACTTGTCCGACCAGTGAACCATTGAACCAGTAGCTTCACCGGTTCAATGGCCGTTTCGGTTTTCAGAACCATGATTAATAGTTTTCTAATACCTAATTATCTTATCTAGTTTTTAAATATATTTATGACTTTGAAAAAAAAGAAAACCCAACAAATAATGGGGCATATTCGTCATTGACCTTAGGGTTTATGTAGGGCTTATAATCAAAGAAAAAAGGCAGATAAAATACTCTCAAGTCTGCTACTTCTTGCCCAAGCATAAAAATCTGCTTCACATCGCTTTGCAATCTGTAATGGCGGTTCAGAATCGTCTCCATCTTTAATCCAAACCCTACGTCAATCACAAGCCCTAATTTCACCAATATTCCTTCTCTTCTCTGTTTAATTCTCCCCCATGTTGAAGGCACTCACCGCCAGGTGCAGCTCGCACGTCTACATCGGGGCCCACCTCCGCGTCCCCGCGCCTGCCGGAGTGCCCGCGTCCCCGTTGCTGCGGGTCCTTCGAGGGCAGAGAGGGAGAAGTCCGGTTTATTTTAGGAGGTTCTTTTGCTCTGACTCCTCCGATGGGACCGGCCCGGTCGACTCAACCACGTCGGAGACTAAGTACATCGAGGTGGGTGAAGAGGCGGCTGAATCGAAGTCCTCATCAGCCATTGTGCCTACTGTTGTCAGACCGGAAGACTGCCTCACGGTTAGTGTCCACGAATTTACATGGCTTTGAATGTGTGAGAAATGGTATCTTATGTTATGTGATATGGAAGAGATGTGAATTCCTCATAAGACCTTACTTCATTACTTTCAAGTGATGTTCATAACTCACAAGCTTTATTATTTCGTGTACTCATGGTATTTTAGCGCAGATAAGAAGTAGTGTTCAATGCAATGTGATGTAACTTTTACGGTTCAACTTGTATTTGATTCTAGTGTACTAAGTTAGACGATGGTATATGTCAGAACATTTTTTTTTTTTTTTCCAGTATGATGTGCATTTTTTGAGAAATGTATTACTAGCTTTTTCTCTATCTCTGCTTCAAAATCACAATTGATAATTTGTTTGCTGCCCCTATACCAATGAAAAAGAATTTTAAAGACATTTATTTATCCTCTTCCATTGGAAGTTAGTGTCAGGGGGACAAGGAAATTGACATATATGTGTGTGCGTGTGGTTGTGTGTGAGGCACACGCTAACTGGAAACTGTGGCATATGGTGTGGACATGTTAGGGAGGAGGTTGTGTGTTATTTAAAAGCTATTTGACATGATAATGTTATTTGTTGTCCTTTCTGCTTCATAGAGGGTGGTTTTCAGGCAGTGTAAGAGCTGGTTCTCTTAGGGCTCAATATTCACTGATCGTAATAGATATATTCCTTCTTATTATCTGTTTTCCTTTTACCTATGATATTTTTGTTAATGATCTCACCAGACTGTTGTAGG